GATTGAAATTGAATTACATACGGAAATCGAATTACATACACATTGAAATGGAATTACATACACATTGAAATTGAATTACATACACATTGAAATTGAATTACATACACATTGAAATCGAATTACATACACATTGAAATTGAATTACATACACATTGAAATCGAATTACATACACATTGAAATTGAATTACATACGGAAATCGAATTACACACACATTGAAATCGAATTACATACACATTGAAATTGAATTACATACACATTGAAATTGAATTACATACACATTGAAATCGAATTACATACACATTGAAATCGAATTACACACACATTGAAATTGAATTACATACACATTGAAATGGAATCACATACACATTGAAATTGAATTACATACGGAAATCGAATTACATACATATTGAAATCGAATTACATCGAATTACATACGTAAATCGAATTACACACATATGGAAATCGAATTACATACACATGGAAATCGAATTACATAAATATGAAAATCGAAATACACACACATGGAAATCGAATCACATAAACATTCAAATCGAATTACATACACATTTAAATTGAATTACATACGGAAATCGAATTACATACACATTGAAATCGAATTACATACGGAAATCGAATTACACACATATGGAAATCGAATTACATAAATATGGAAATCGAATTACACACACATGGAAATCGAATTACATAAATAAGGAAATCGTATTACACATATGGAAATCGAATCACACACATATGGAAATAGAATTACACACATATGGAAATCGAATTACATAAATATGGAAATCGACTTACACATATGGAAATCGAATTATATACATTTGAAAATCGAATTACACACATATGGAAATCGAATTACATAAATATGAAAATCGAAATACACAAACATGGAAATCGAATTCCATACATTTGTAAATCGAATTACACACATATGGGAATCGAATTACACACACATGGAAATCGAATTACATACATTTGTAAATCGAATTACACACATATGGAAATCGAATTACATACATTTGTAAATCGAATTACACACTTATGGGAGTCGAATTACACACATATGGAATCGAGTTACACACATTTGTAAATCGATTACACACATATGGAAAATCGAATTACAT